TTGCAGCCAGTGTGCCCAATCGGGGAACTGCAGCCTCGTCCGAAAGGGCGAGATGAGATTCTCGTAGTCTAGCGTCTTTGGTAATCCGACTCAGCGGTTCTGCGGAATCTCACTGTGTCGTTGGGGGTAGCGTTAGACTACTCGTCTCTAAATGTTCGAACTTCGATTCGGTTAAAAAACCAGTGGTTTTCTTACTGTGTCGGTATTTCAAGTCACGAGCCACGAAATGCCCTAAGATGCTTGGTCTATACATATACCTCGTCTGTGTACAAGATTTCATAAACCTCGTCTGTGTGACACATATGCATCACATGTAGTTAAATTCAAACGAAATTCAATACGAAATCACGAATAAATCAAGGAGGAAATGTTTTGTAATTGTAAATAAAATGTAGACCTATATTTGTTCATTGTATATAGTCTCTTTGATAAATCTAAGAAAGTCTAGTAAATTTATAATAATTTCGTTATACACATTTGTCATTATATATTACTAGTTAGGTATCATTATGTGTCATATTGCAAATTGTACTCACGTCTGCCTTTGCTATAATATATCAAAAATCAGCGTCTACACAGCCACTTCATACTTCTTTAAAGAGCTTTACAGAATCACCCAACATTCTGTAAAATTTTGTAAAAACGTAAAAAGAGACGTATAATAAAAGATTAGGTAATTATATGGTAATTAAGTTAATAATGGTATTTAAGCATTTACAAATTAATAACGGGAAATATTGCGTAGTTAAAAGGACAACGATACATCTTGAACAAGGTTACACATCGCGTCGCGACAACAGTACGATTTTCAATATTCGAATGACAAACTACGGCGCAGACGTTCTACGAGCAAGAGGACTGGGAATATGGCACTAATATCGTCGAACAAGAAGCGCGATTTTTTGAAAAATTCAAATGTACTAATTTATATAAATTTGATTTGAAATACGATCAAAAATTTGTCTAAATTTATATAATAATATAAATTAATATTAAATGATATTATACCTATAAATTGTAGCATTACATTGAAATTATATATTGATATTAGACTTTGATTTTCTTTTATACTTACAGAAAATTATATATACTTATAAATTATTTATACTTATAAAAAATTATATTATTAATTTAATTATTATTTAATTATTTTGTTATACTATATATTTTAATTATTTTATTATAATGTATTACAATATTATATATATTTATTGTAATATTATATCGTGTATTATTATATTAATATTATACACATTATAAAGGTCAATGAAAATATTCTATGTTTTATCATTTTATAATTCAAAACAGCATTGACGAGAGATATGTATCTTATTAAAATTCCTACAGTTACATATATATGACTGAATTTATCTACAATTAACTAATGTTATCATTGCAAAAATAAGGGAATATAAAATTGAACCGAACTTCATTAAATCTTTATTCGTAAAAAGAAATACAATTTAATGTTATAAATATTTTCAAGTAACCATGTCATTAGAGTAACTTTTTATTCTACGATAATGAAAATTTTTGTATCACAATACAAATAAATGGATATAAATAGATATAATACAGCAAATCATAGATATTTATAGAAATGTGATACGTACATTTTAATATTGTAAAACGTACGACAAAATCAATTATATTGTATGATACAAAGAAGGAGACTAAAATAAACTTCACACACGATTTTGATTAGGATTTGAAATCCATAATCGTTTTATTTCATCATCATCATCGTCATATATTATTGGTTTGTTTCATCTATTTGATGTTTCGTCGATATTATTATGCACATGATTTAATTTATTCCTTTGTGAGTTCACACTTGCAGAGTTCATTATTGCGTTTGAAATAAGGCAGACAGTTATCTTTGGCATAAATATCATTCTCGCTATCGAGGAAGCAGAAGGGCATATAGTTCCAACAATTTGGCTGCTTTGAAAACTACAGATACAAAAAAACACATACAGATACAAAAATATATAAGTATGTAAAATAAAATTTTAAATATGTAAAAAGGTATGTAATATAGTTACAATTAAATTCGAAAGCAAGTCAAATGAAGAAGAAAAGATGATACAATTTTGATTCAAAAATTGAAATTTGTTTCATAGATTTCGTTAAAAATGAAGTGAATGCAAAGATAATGTATATAATTATAGCATTTTTATAGATTTCTTTAAATAAATGATACATTTTATATTTGTGTGACATATTTTTAATTTCATGAGGAAAACCGAAAAAATTAATGATGTCATAATGACTTTTTAAATTTGCTTTTTATAATGAACGAGCTCATACAAATAAATAATAGATATATAGATAAGAATTGAACATTGATTCTTCAAAAATCGTATTGTTTAGTTAATCCACCTATATTTTTTTTCGGAAATAAAATTTTAGAAAATATTTATTATAAGAGACGAGTCACACAAATGATAAAATAATTTAAAAAAGACGTGTATAAATAAATCACGAGTCGTCACAGAATTCTACGAAGTATCTGAATAATTAATCATGTACTTATATAATGAAATTGAGACACGGATAAAGAAATTGTGTGTTAACTTCTGAGAGGTTCGCACAACAAACACAATTACCTGACAATGGTCGTAGATTATCACCATTTTTGACGTTGAAACACATGTGTTCACTTTTTTATAGTAGTGACGACCAAAATCACATGGAAGTTTGATAGACATCCCATTAATAAACTCAATCAAGAAAGTCGAACGATCGGATGTTTCGTCGAGTTTCATCACAGGTCCATTGCTCAGTACCAAAGCTTCAATTGTCGTGTTCAACTGCATTTGATCATACCTTCCGTGAGCGAAGATTCCTGGCGTAGCGATGCTAATAATTGATAACATTGAGATAAGATACACCATGATCGAAAGTGTAGTAAATCTTTCAAACATCGTGTCTTTTACCGAACCATTTATTCATGACTGCTTCGTACTAATATAACAAGCGCTTATCATCACGATAAAGTATATATCTTTGTTTCTTGAAACATGACATAATTTTTTTATTTTTTATTTTTTCATCGATAACGTTATAGAACACTTATGTGCTACACATTGCATTTATCACATCTTCTTTATTGACAAGAATTCTCTTTTAAATTGTGAAAACAACATTAGATATCGGAAACAAAAATTGACACAAAGAGATTAATTTATTTCATCAGTATCGATAAGGTCTGAGAATTCGATTTAGAAGCATTGCCACTGCTTGCAATTGCAATTAAAAGTTATCTCTATTGAGATTATATTTCAATTTTATTATATATGACTGATACTGTATTGGTATTTATAAATTTGTATTACGACTATTTTTTTTTTTATCAGTTATCAATATTTACATATAAAATAACAGGAAGGAATTGTTCAGTGATGGAAAAATTTGTGTTCAGCAAGACATTTGAATTTTTTACAACATTCGAGTATTGTTCACTTTTACATTTGCTGCATGATGTAAAGGTAAATATCTTTGAAAGAAATAAACTCAGAAATTATTAAAGTAGAGATTTCGCGGTTTAGAATAAAATCAAATTAATTGTTGAAAAAAATTTTTTTTCACGAAAATTATAACAGTTTAACGGATTGACAATTTTTTATTCAGTGTACAAATATTTTCGTTCTTTTTCAAGAATTTGTCATGAATTTTGCATATTTGATTTAGACATTTTGTACGAAATGCGCGCGTATTGAGTTAGGTTTAATAGTTAAAGATTACAATGGCGAAATACAGAATACACTTCCTACGATTCTCCAACTCGAAATCGATGAGCTCATGCTCATAATCGATTTTCAAACGACAAGTATGGCAGAATCAAGCACACCGCTTCTATAAAGAAGAAAGCATTATCCAGAAAAATCATTCAGAAATTCTCAGGTAAAAATTTATATCAATAGTTGTTAGATTTGTGTGTTGAATTTTTAAAATAAAGCATACGTCCTTGGTTCTATATCAAGGTAAGATTTAACTAAATAATTATTACATATAATTTTACAACAATTAAAAAAAACAATAGCATATAAACATTTAAACAGAACATACTATGCCAAAAGTTATTTATAATTTTGTACCAAAATTTAATTTCAATTCTAATCAGTAGAAATATTGTAACCTTGTAATTGTCTAACTTATTGTTTTATATATATATATATATATATATATATATATATATAT